TTACATTTAATAATATATTACCTATAACCAATAGAAAGCCAAGGTTTTCATCTCTCAAATGACATATTGTATAATGTTGTGTTCTGAACAAGTAGTTGTCAGTTTCACTCGGAGTACAAGCTCCGCTCCCATGGGAAAGCTAACAACTAGCTTGCATGAATTTGTAACAGCTCTTGTTGCATAGTTAGAAAGCCAGAAACATTTTGAGAGTTAGGGGAAATTGTCTATTTTTTGTATTTATTGTTCTATGTTTTTTGGTATATTATTTAATTAAATAAAAATTATTTAGTGCATTACTACCATTAGTATATAAAAAAAACGTAGGGCTAAGTATCGTCGACAATTGACAGCAAGAGAAAAGAAGGTTGGATAAGTATATTATTTCTTGTTTTTCATGTTTATTCTTTCTTGATTATTATAAATGTAACTAAAATGTAAAATTAGGGATATTTATAGATTAGTTAAGGTTAGATTAGGTAAAATAAATAATAATAATATAATAAAAATATTTCATGAGGCACACATGTGAGCTGCATGTTCCTCAAGTAGTTTACAACAGTTCAAAGGGCAATAAAACAATATTATGTAATTATAAATAGATGTAAACTGTTACTAGTTTAAAGCTATTTAGAATAAATAAATGTAGTTTTCTGCCACATTTGAAATCATTCTAGAAAGAAAAAGAGAGTAATTTAGATTTATTTAGATTTTTCTGGTGGTTACGAGTCAGTCAAATTGACCAACAATGTATAAAGTTAGGGTAGTGAAAATAACAGATAAAATATAAAGTTTTACTGAAAACAAACATTTGAAATATATTTAGGAGGTTTTATAGATTACATAAATGAAATTTGAGCTTTTTGAGATGAAGAAAAGTATTTTTAATCTTAACATGAAAATCACTTTGTACATGGACTATTTAAATCAAATACTGAATATATTCAAGGACAAATCTTTTTTTTTAGGTTATTAAAAATACTTCACTAAAAATATTATTTTTTGTATGTGAAAGGCACATAATGTTTACTGAAAGACTGCCAAATTTTGTGAAGGTATACACGATATATTAAAAGTCACTAGTATCAAATCTATAAAGACTAAATGAGTACAAAAAGGTCACATTGATTGAGCCTGTGTTGAGAGAGTTAATGTGCATACTACCAGACTTCCAGTATTTTTAGAAGATATGTATCTTAATGTGCTTACTACCAGACCTCAAGTGGTTTTACATGATATGTATCTTAATGTGCTTAAAGCCAGACCTCAAGTGGTTTTACAGGATATGTATCTTAATGTGCTTACTACCAGACTTCCAGTATTTTTAGAAGATATGTATCTTAATGTGCTTACTACCAGACCTCAAGTGATTTTACAGGATATGTATCTTAATGTACTTACTACCAGACCTCAAGTGGTTTTACAGGATACATATCTTATGTGCTTACTACCAAACCTCAAGTTGTTTTACAGGATACGTATCTTAATGTGCTTACTACCAAACCTCAAGTGGTTTTACAGGATACGTATCTTAATGTGCTTACTACCAGACCTCAAGTGGTTTTACAGGATACGTATCTTAATGTGCTTACTACCAAACCTCAAGTGGTTTTACAAGATATGTATCTTAATGTGCTTACTACCAGACCTCAAGTGGTTTTACAGGATACATATCTTATGTGCTTACTACCAAACCTCAAGTGGTTTTACAAGATATGTATCTTAATGTACTTACTACCAAACCTGAAGTGGTTTTCAATGATATATATTTAAAAAAACTAAATTCAAAGTGAAGATAACACGTTAATGGAAAATGCCTACACTTTTGAGCATTTTAATATTTTGTGAAACTTTAGTTTACAACAGTGATTAAACTATACAAGTATGACATTTCATGTCTGTTTTATGTTAGTATTCAGTTTTACATTCAAACGTTACAGATTCATCATATCCTGCTTAGTAAAGCTGCATGACACACAGGCGTGGATATATATCATTAACATTAAAGTATTAAATGCAATACAAAGCTTTCATCATAATACATCTGCTGCACAGTATTTTGAAATAAATTACCATTATTTAAGTAGCCATTGTCTATGTTTCATTATGGCTAGTCTCTTGACCTGGAAGTCAAAATGCATTATTTTGTGCCAGACAATCATAATTAATTCATGGATAAATTATTAAAGATGATAATTTCCTGTTGATTGGTCATCTTCCAGTTTTTCTTTTTAGAAACACTACTGGCTATTTGTGAGGTTGATGCAAATCCAATGAGGAGTAGGGAGATTAAGTTGGAAACTGAAAATAAAATTCTCTCACATATGCTGTGGAATATCTCTGTTACAAATCCTGGAAGTAAACACTGGAGTTTGGTGGTCTTCTAAATAAGGCTTGGTTCTGATCAATAAATTGGCATGATATTAGAAGTAGTATGTGTGTGTTGTGTTGAAAATCAATGATGAAAATGCACAGTAGGTGAGAAAAACTGACAATGATTGCTGAAAGTGGGTGATTAAAGTGCACACCAGGCGAAAGATGTTGATGACGATTGCTGAAGGTCAGTAACTAAGATGCACACAAGGTGAGAGATGTTGATGACGATTGCTGAAGGTCAGTAACTAAGATGCACACAAGGTGAGAGATGTTGATGACGATTGCTGAAGGCCAGTAACTAAGATGCACACAAGGTGAGAGATGTTGATGACGATTGCTGAAGGTCAGTAAC